TTTGCTCCACTCCTGACTCACTCTGGCCGGTAAGTCATGTAGCATCGGAAGACCCACGCCATAGTTCGACAATATTACGGGGTGGGGCAAAATTATGGAAACCAGAACTTTGCCGCATTTCAGCAAGGACTGCACCGCCAAAGGTTCTAAGTAATCGTTCTATCTCTAGAAATTGTTCTTCTATACTTATCGGAGTCCACAGAATTGGGAAATTTTTCTGATCAACAGGGGATTAAAAGACGATACCCGTGCCAACAAGGGCGAATATCAGAAAGGAAAAGGAGCGTTTTTGCTTGAATACAGCACGGTCAGGGCGAAAGGCGACAATGACCTCAGTTCGCCGAATCTAATCCGCTGACACCTTCGTCTGGAGTATACTTGAGTCTAGGATGTGCAAAGTCTCACTTCCGTTCCAGTTTTCAGTCCATTCGTTGAGATTGCCTATACACAGTTTTTGATTGACACGTTTTCCACTTGAAACAATAGCGCACTGAGTTGCTGGCCCACTTGCCTGAACCTTCGACGCAGCCTTACTTGGATTCCCATCTAGCCTTTCGGACTCTTTACAAGAACTTGCCAACCAGTTTGGGTACATAAGCTCGGCTATCAGATTTTCGCCTATGGTGCCAATGTTGTGACCTGTCGTCGACAAGATGACCTAACTGGAAGATAATTACCTCTTCGGCGCTGATGTGACCCTTAATACAGCCAACAATTACTTCGAGGTTATATAAAAGTGCTATCACGGAGTATTGGCATCATTGCAATGCAGTTACGCCTGTTGGTTGTTCTTTTCGCCATCATCCTCGCCTTCGGTTTGTTTCTTTCTTCTATTTTGTCTCGATTTCTACCTTTGATTTACGGACGTAAGAATCATATTTTATAGCCGTAGTGGGAACGGAAGGTGGCCGTCACAGCCATAGTCACAGCCACAGTCGTGATCGCAGTCGCGAACGGTGAGATTAGTTTCAGTAAAAGCTTCATTTTATAGTGAAAACCGTAGTTATGAAACTTTTATATTGCAGAGGTTTTGGCCGCGGACACCATGGTTAGTTCTTTGAAGAAGATTTTCTATCAGATGAATAAGTCATTCATGAAAATGGCAACTGTTGGTGTGCAGCGAGTATAGCATTCAGCTCATTTTTTTGACATTAACTTTCCTTCATTTTTAATCATAATAATTGAGTTTAAAGGAGGAGGACATGGTCTCGGTAGAGGAGACGGCTATGGAGGACGCGGAGGATATGCCATGGCGGAATTGATCATCATGGTGGAGGAAACATTGGTTATCCAGGATTGGGAGGAGGACTTGGTCATGGTGGACATTGGGGTGCGGGCAGGAGACATTATGGTGGCTTCAAATGGGTAATTCCAATCCAGATTCCGGATTCGATCATGTCTCCATTCACTTCAGGGATCATCAACTTAGGATTTCTCAATGCATATCAAAAATTCTGTAGTTAATTTTCTCGTCAGTATAAGTTCAGGTAAATTTTTTCTCCTTCCCGTCCTCATTCCTCATGATTCTGTTATGTCTGTACTTTTGTGAGATATCCTGATCTAGAAGTTGTAAGCTTTGAATGTACAATGATGATGTAGTAACAGTTAGATAACAAGTGACATGCACTGCATTCTCCCATTGTATTCTTGTTTCCACGAGCAGCTTTTTTGTAGATCCAAAACTCAAATAAACTACGAAATGGATTGACAATTATTTATTTATTTATTTATTTATTTATTTATTTATTATTTTCATTTACTCTTCGTCCGAAGACGCGCTATAGCCAGGCGATGACGGGAACTAGACGGCGAAAATATTAGCTTAGGTTAGACAAAAAAGAAACAGGAACAAACGAAAAGTTGAATAAACACAAAACAAAAATATAATGGAAAAATCCTATCGCGGAATCGGCTAGCCAATCGAGGAGGCAGGAAGAGGATAGGTGAGAATGGATAGAATGGTTGGCTTGCTTGCCAAGCGCTCCGGATAATTGCTTAAAAAATCTGTTTGTAGAGAAAAAACAATGCGCAGTTGAATAAGATGAGCATTCATTAGTTTTGTCCACTGTAATGAGAAGGTCATTACATGAATATCTGCCAAATAATGAGTGATATGGAGTAGGGTAGGGGTATGGTGTGCGGTGGCACCAACCAACCAGCTGCTACGGCAGAGTTGTGTATTCAGAGAAGAGCTCTTGTTCGTGATCCCGCAGGGGAATTGGATGGGACCTTACTGAAGTCGTGTGCAGCAACGGGAGAGAGTGGGTGCCGCAAAATGAAGAAAAAAAGCGCAACTTCACTGCTTCAGCTTCAGTGACGGTACCCCTCTACCCTTTTCCTCTCTTGAGTCCTTGGGTAGACATGGAAATGTATCATGTAGTATCACATTCATTCAACAGCAATTTCCATGCCTTCAAGCAGAAGGGTTATTCGGGGATTCTTAAAAGGCCATACATCACACCGCAATGGAGATGATAAGACCTTCTAGAAACAAACATTTCTGTCGTTCATGTGATGGAAACCCTCAAACACCTATAGAGCGTACTCAAGGTGGGCTAATGATAACCTGAAGTCTTTTGACAGTTCCTACATGTCTTGCATCTGCATGAAGTTCACAATTTTATTCAACGACTCTTTCCATGCCATCAGGAAGGTCCTTAAAATTTTGGGGAAACTATACATCACACCGCAATAAAGTAGACCTTCTAGAAAAACTCCTATGTCCTAGTCGAGCGGATTTAGGACAAATTGAAGTTGTTTGACAGTTACTACATGCAGTGCATCAGGATGGAATTCCAGATGGAGGCCCGCTAAGGCCAAGCAACCTTCTTCCCGATTGTTTACTGGTTCATTTGATGGGTAACTCGCTCTGGAATGTAAAAGACCCAGACCTACAGCATCGCCAACAGTAACTTTAGGTAGGGCGCACATCGGCTGCACGCCTCGTCTTTGTTTGGTCAGACAGCATTCAAATGTTATTCCATTTCAGAATAGACGACAAATCCGTGGCTTATCCCGAACATGGATTGGTCAATACCGAGTGTTTTATCCATAATTCTTTTCAGTATTTGATAATGGCTTATGACAACTATAACGGAGCTAACAAGGGAGGTCTTTCAGGACATGAAGCGCTTTTTGAGATGATTTTCTGCATATTTTGCAATTTATGTTGGCGCCTCCAAATTGCCGCAAACACGACAATGACATCTATTCTCGACGATGGCGCCATTTGGCGGCAATCTGGGGGCGCCAACTGTATTGCAAAAATTAGTCATCACCGGGGATCGAACTCTGGACCATTTCTTCACCACTGTTTTGACATTCCTGGAGGCGTTCAGGAAAAATGGATCATGGTTCTGTGTTCCTCGCATTAGC